GGCCAAATATTGTCCTATCCTAACAAACCATACATCAATGGAAAGCTTATTTATTCAGCTTTCAGAGGACGTATAAATCTCAATTTCAAAAAATTGACACTTAAGACTGGTTTTGTGGTCCAGGGTCACATATTTCTAACTTCTGGCCTCTTTTGAGGGACTTTTGAGGCTGATAATAATAAGATTGAAGGTCCAAATCCCAGAAATTCAAGAAATGCACATTTTAAAACCAAATGAAGTCTCTTCTGCTCACCAAGGCTGTGTTTATTTGACCAAAATAAAGTAAATTCAGTAAAAACAGTGAAATATTATTACAATTCAAAATAGCTGTTTTCTGTGTAAATATGTATTAACCTGTAATTTATTCCTGTGATCAAACCTGTATTTTCAGCATCATTACTCCAGTCTTCAGTGCGATATTATCATGCGCTCTTTCACAGCATGATTCAATCTCTTACCGTGCATTTAGAATGCTCACAAAATTCAAGATATGGGGGCAGAAAATGTATATATTTATATCATTTCATATAGTCAATCAATATCGCACGAAGAGTGCCGTTTTTTTTTCCCCTCCAAAAATCAGCATGATTACAAATGTATTTTTCAAATGTTTCAAATGTTGTTTTTTACAACAGTTCGATAAACAAGAAGAAGTTAATCAAGAGACAACATTGCTCTATTTTGACAACAATAATAATTCCAAACAGCCACAGCACTGTTTTTGTCTTTACTGTCACTTTTGGAAAAATTGTAATGCATCCTTGCTGAATAAAAGTATTAATGTTTGCATGCATATTTTTGAAGAGTAGTGTATGCGGCCGTGAAACTGTGAAACATGTTGTAAAGACACTCCAAGCTGCTTTTGAAAAGTAATAGTTTGCTACATAATGACTTCTCTTTATGAACCAACATCTGTTGAGTCTCTATACTTTGTCATTTCCTCTCAGGGAACCGCTGGACAGGAAGTGACAGCGTATGAAGAGATGTCAGCTCTGGTCAACTACGTGCAGCCCAACAAATTCATCTCTTTTGAGAACGCAGCCAGTGAGTTCAGAGCGGATTTTCTTGATGCGCTCATATGTGTGATGATTCTGATGAATATATAATAAATGCACCTGAAACCTCCTCTTATGCAATATTACCCAATAAATATAATGCACTTTTTTGCAAATGATTCCCATTTGAGCTATAAATATGCAAAATCAAATGTATAAACCAATCAAATGTAGTAAAACCCTTATGTTTACCTAGTAACACTTTCCAATAGTTTCGTTTGTTAACATTAGTAATTGCATTAGCTAACATGAACTACAACGAGCAATATATTTTATTAATATTTGTTGATATTAGTTAAAAATACAGTTCTTAATTGTTCCTGTTAGCATTAAGTGATGTTAACATACACCATTTGATTTTTATTTATATTATTTATATGATTTTATAGATTTTTATATTTACATTTTATTTATATTGTATGCTTTTCATTAGTTCAAGCTTTAAGGGCTGCGGATTTGCGCCAGAAATAAAATGTAGATGGTTTGATGTTTGAAAAATGGAGAAATTAAAAAGAAAATAATTTTACAAGTAATGTAAAATAAAATAATTATTATTATATTATTTTTCTTAAATGCTAAATTTTCTTGTTTTACAGTGAAATAGAACAATAGTTTTTATTTAGCAATTTTTATATCGTTATTTAATAATAATAATAATAATTGTAATTCACCCAGAAAGAATAAAATCATAATAAAAGTTTGATGGTTTAACGTTTAAAATGAATACATTAAGACAGCCATATCTATTAATATTGTAATTTTACAGTAAAATAAAATTATTGTTATTATTATTCAATACTTGTTTTTTTTATTTGTAGTACAGTGGCATTAATGCAATATAAATATATTTCTTTATTAATTTGCTTAATTCTTATCATTTAAATAGTAATAAAATAAAACAAAAACATTTACTATTATTATTATTAATAATAATAGAATAAATTATTATTATTATTATTATTAATACAAGAAGTTGATATAACTATAAAAAGTAATATTTTAATTTTCCTATTGTTTTAT